ATTGAGGAATTCATGTTCTTGATCAGTTTTCCCAACAGCATTGGAATTTGATTAGGGATCCAGGTCAGTAAAGAGGCTGTTTCAGTGCAGATCTATTGCCGTTTGAATTGCTTGTCTTTAGTGCGACCATAGGGTATGAGGACTGTCATTGCTCTCTAACCAGCCTAATATCCAAACCCAAAGGACATTAGATCTAGCAAGAACAATTACAACACCCCACTGGCTGCTAGGCACATATATGGTTCTAACCCACTGTGGCCTCCAGAAAGAAGGCAGAGGATGGTGGGACAAGACCTTTCTTCATCCTCAGACTGGAAAATATTTGAGAGAACCAGAGAAGCATCAGATCATATCTAGCTGGGATACCTGGGAAATTAAGGAAAACAGTGGACTTTGAACAGGCACCAAGAAGCTGCTAGTATCAGAGCACTGTTTTGAATTTTTGTTTCATACCCATTTTCTTGCCGAGTAAGATGATATCATAACAACACTAAAAACCATTAGAAAATCAAGAGCCATGGTTTCCTGCCCCAAATAAGGAAAGCTTAAAATTGAGTGAACATAACAATAGAACTAGTATCCACACACACATCTCTACCAAGAAGGTCCTGTGCACCTATTTCCTGTACACTTGGGAAGTTGATTAATACAGTTAAATAAATAGCAGTCCATCCCAATGATGTGTGGGGAGAGTTTACATGTGCATTAACTTTATGCCATACATTACAATGCCAAGACATGCATTTGTTAATGCACCCAATAAATATCACCCTGTATAATCTGAGGTCCATGTGGATGTATGCCCAAAAGTCTGATATGAGAAGTACAAATTTATTTCCTGAATCATGGGGTACCTGATAGTTTTTTTTTCCCCAGGTAGAGTAAAATCTTTTATTTTCCCACTGATGAAATGAATTTGTTTTCCTTATCCTGGGAAAAATTCTACAGCCATTTTTGAATTTTTGGTTACCATATTTCCAAGTCTTTTAATAACATGTTATTCTTTTATAGGACTCGTTCATACAGTTTTTACTTAATTTTTCATAGGACATAAATACTTATAATGAGCTATGGGGAAAAAAATGGATGTTTTCCAAAATAGGTCTTGGATGAGAGTCAAAGCTTTAGTTAATTTGAAGAATTAATGTCATTTGTTTACTTAATAGACCCAGTTTTATAAATAGATTAAAATATTTGCCCATTGAATTGAGTTCCATGGTCACTATGTGATGTAGAAGAAATACCTCAAGAAGGAATAATTCTTTTAAATAGAATTGTATTTATTGTTAAGGCAATGCCTATCCAGCAAGTGAAAGCCTTACCCAATGGAAAACATAAAAATAAATCTAATCACAAACTTTAAATGTCTCTTTTAGTAAGAGGAAAATTTAAAAAAAAAAAAAGTCCTTTGTGTTCTAAATCAGTTTTTAAATATTTTGGAGATCATAACTAAGAGACAGTGCTTAAGAAAATGTTAATGTAACAGAACCAGTGGTGGTGTTATTTAATATCCTTTAACTATAATCAGCTTAGTTATAAGTATGATCATTTTTTACAAACCTTTCTGCAACACACTAGAGTTCTCGAGATACCACTTAGGAACCCAAGGTACATTTTAATACATAAAGTGATTTTGTGTCCTGTGATTTACATTACCCATGAATATTACACAAATCAAATCCTTTCTCCTTTAGAACCCGTTTTGGAAAGAAATCTATCAAAGTGTGTATCTTAACATTAAAATATGTAGGTTATGGGGGCATGGTAGGATGGAAGGGAGAGGGAGCTGGGAATAACATGTAAAATAAGATGGTTTCTAATCTAAATTAAAAAAAAGTAGCTTAATGAAACTTTTATCTTAACACTTTAATGAATACTGTTTTATATAAACAAATATGGTTTTAAAGTTTTTTGAAACACTTAATACACCCAAAGATACCCTCTTAATAGGTTTTAAGAAGTTCAGAGAACCCATGTTTATAAAGCAGTGTGTTTCTTATCAAGCTTTTTGATATATCACCAAAACACATTTACAAGCATACAGATGTAGATTTTACTTGTACATGCTAAAAAATAAATCCAGTGTGAGAAAAATGAAAATTTTGAAGTGTCAACAGGTTTGGTTACTTCTTTCTTGGAACATAAAATATATGGAAACAATTATAACCGCAAATGACAGAAGTACATGAAATCCAGGTGTGCCTAGTAAAAAGAGGAGTATAAAGTTATATTCCTAGCTCCTTGAGATGTAAGGAAGCTTAGTAGCACAAAAAATGGAAGACATTTTTTTGGGTAGCCTTAAGCCAATATCTTTTCCTAAAGTTGGGTGCCAAAAGCAGAAGGTGGAGCATATCCTTACCCAGGGAACCACCTTCCTTCCTCCGTGTAACTTTGGGCTAAAGCTGTTTAGTTTGAATTTATAGTGAGGCCAAACTATATTCCAGTGCTTGTTTAAATATCTAAAAGAAGGGGAAAGGAAAGAAATTCTTGGGTCAATTATTGTGCATCTGTCCAGTGCCCGTCTAGAACATTTTCTCTTGATAGGAGAGGCAAGTTGACATGAAAGCCTGAAACCCTTATGGTCATTTACCCAGAAGAAAAACATCTAACAACAGCAGCAAAAGTCAGGAGAGGAAAAAAAGAGATGAAACTGGTGGTCATAGTGGTAACAGTTGATGAACTGTTTGTTATCTGGGGCGCTGACCTAGAAGAGAAATCTAAAAAGGTTAATAGGTAGAAAAAACTGGAAGGGTCTGGTGATCAGGGGTCTGGAGGTTGAAGAATAGGAAATTGTGATGCCTCTGACACCTGTATGAACAGTTAACTTAAATTTTTTTAATTTGGATTTTTTGAGTCAGGGTTGCGGGTAGCTTAGTCAAATCTTGAACTTGCTAGCTAGCTGAAGATGGCCTTGAATTCCTGTTCCTCCTGCCTCCACTTCCCAGGTTCTGGTTATGTCATTTAACTGATTAGTCTTATGAGAGAAGATGGTCAACCAGTGGGTATTACAAAGACGTATACTAAGAAGACTCTTGGAAGCAATAATTTGAGAGGATATATTATTGTAATTTAGATTGTCTCTATGCAGTAGGGCATGAAGCTGAATTCTTGAGCATGTAAGAGGAAAAAAGAAGAGAACAGGGTTGGGAAAGGGACGTACTGGTAGGGTGATTGCTATAGGCGTGAGGCTCTGGTTTCAGTCCATAGCACTACAAAAAGTCTAACCCATCAGTGGTTTAGGAAACTGAGCTATAAAAGCAGGCAGAGGATGCCATAGTTAAAGGGAAAGATTTTACATATAGGAGAAACTACAGCAGAGTTATGTTAATGGTAGAATAAGATACGGGAGTCTTAAGAATTACTGAAAAACAGTCCCTGAAAAAAACAAAAACAAAACACTACTAGGTTCTAGAATATGGATAAAATTCAGTTTCAGATGAAATAGCAACAACTTTTCAAACATTTATTTTGCTCACGCAAAGTAATGTGTCTATGCATGCGCGTATGTGTGTGGTGCCTGTAGGCGTTAAAAGAGAACATTTGCTTTCCTGGAACTAGAGTTATAGGTGTTATGAACTGCCATGTGGGTGCTGGGAACTGAATTCTGGTCCTGCAAGAGCAGTGAGTGCTCTTAACCGACAAGGCATCTTCCCAGCCTCCATAGAATGGCAACTCTTGTAGACAGGGAAAATGTGGCAAGGATGAACTCAGAGGAGTCTGGGAAATGAGAAGAATTTAAAGGTAGCAGAGATACTATGAAGGAGTTTTGATAGGACTGATATTTGATTTCGGTGGTTAAGTCCTTCCTTCAGAGAAGAAAGGAAGGCATCCAGGGTAGGGCATTCAAAAGAATATAAATTCAAATATTTATTCATTGTGTCTAAAGGGCAGCATGCTAGGCACTGGGAAGAATATAATAGAGAAGATAAAATTTCCATGTCAAATATGCTTACACTCTGTAGAAGAGTGCAAAACAACGACGACCAAATAGTGTGAAAAAAAGTAAAGTAGGAAAGCTAGATAATTGTCCAGTTTTGCTAGAGAGAGAGAGAGAGAGAGAGAGAGGGAGGGAGGGAGGGAGGGAGGGAGGCAGGAGGGAGGGAGGGAGGCAGGAAGGAAGGCAGGCAGGAAGGGAGGGAGGGAGGGAGGGAGGGAGGGAGGGAGGGAGGGAGGGAGGGAGGGAGGGAGAACCAAATTGCTTTTTAGAGTCTAATTGAGCATCTTAGAAGTTTTTGATACAAAGAACTAGAGTGGTAAAAAAATGATAGAGGTCGGCTGTCCTGGGAATTTGTGAACTGAATACAATAGTACAATTATATAGTCCTTCCAGAATTTAAATATTTTACTATAATTTTCTAATTTAAAGTTTATCTAATTTGCTCAAAAGAAGTAGGGTACTTTCCTCCAGGTGTTATTGCTCATGTTTAAATTTGCCTGTTTTACTACACTGGACACTGATGGGTATTTATCATGTGGCAGGCACTTCCTAAATTAAATTTGTGAAATCCTCATAATCGCCTGTGAGTACTATTAGCCCTGTTTTATGAACAAGGAAACTAAGAGCCAGACTCTGCATCTTTATATAATTTTTAATATGTTTTCATTTTTTATTGCGTATGAGTGTGTGCTGGCACATATACGAGAGTGGCCGTGCATGTGGGGGTCAGAGGATGGCAGCTTCAGGGACTTGGTCCTCTTTTGTCTTGTTTTTTACGGGGTCTCTCTTACTGTCCCTGATGCACCACTTACTCTAGGCCAGATGACCTCTAGGTTCTGGATTGTACTTCTGTCTCCACATCTAGCTTCTCACATGGGCTTAGGGAATTGAACTCATGTCACCAGCCTTAAGCCACAGTCACCTTTACCTGCAGAACCACCTCAATGGCCCTGCATGGTATTTGTTTAGCTTATGTGCACTTCTAAATGAAAGTCTACTTTTGCTATAATTTGAATTTTCTTTTCAATTCTGGGTCTTCTGTGTTGTATTTTCCCTTGTATAGGAGTCCCAGCTCACAAACAAGGAAGTCCATTAGCTTTATTAACCCATCAAAATCAAGTTCAGGAAAAGGATATGTTGGTGCAAATCAAAGCAGACTGGGCATGTCGAGAACTATGGTTACTGTACCAGAGATGAAGCCTGCAGAAAAACTGAATATTTCTAGCATTAAGACAGTACAG